TGTACGTGTACACTAGAGGCATTGAGAGGTTGTCAAGGAAAACCTGGGTCAGAAACTTCAAGAAAGTGCCGCAAAACACGAGTAAAATCTAGGGGATAAGTTGTGGATGAAAACAATTTGGATTTTGGGATATTTAAAGACAATTTCACATCTCTTTTGGGGTTTTCAGATCTATTACATTTTCTACTCGTGCTAACACAAGCAAGGTCACCCACCGCGCGCGTGAAGTCGCGTTTGGTAGGAGACACACACGCGCTCGCAAGCGAGATGGCGTCAACCCCTTATCAGTGCCTACCTTATTACATACCAATTCATAATGTATTGGTAAACTCGTGCCCTTATAAATCTCAACGTTCATCCTACAAAGTCCCATCACAAGGGAGAAACACAAACGAAGGCACTTTTTTTTGTCCATATTGAAACGGCTGTACGCTGTATGGAACTCAAAACTCAATTTTCCTGTACAAGAATAAGGATAAACGGTATGGGTTGACAGGTATGATTATTGTGTGTAGTTTCGAAGACCGGCTGGCTGGCAGTAAGGTCCCCCCCCAAACACTCACCCATGGCCCCCCTTGCTGTCCGGCTTCTGTTTCTTGGGTTTGCTGCCTCCGTGCTTGCCTGTCGAGGACGCCACATGCTCGGCCGCCTTCGTGAACTTCTTATCACCCTTACGATCCTGCCAGTCGGTCAGGATCTGTGCGGCACCACAACAGAGGGGCAAGGGCAAGGGAGGGGTCATGGTCATGGTGCCATACCTTTAAACCCCTTAAGAATGCCTACCTCTTCTTTGGTTCTTTCGGTAAAGTCACGTAGAATGAGAATAAAATAATAAATTAACACAATCAAATTCTCACGACGTTTCGGCCACAACACAAGCGGCTTTCATCAGGTGAAGGGATGAGACTGTCTGGAGGACAGCGCTGTCCTCCAGACAGTCTCGTCCCTTCACCTGATGAAGGCCGCTTGTGTTGTGGCCGAAACGTCGTGAGAATTTTATTGTGTTATTTTATTTTATCAATTTATTATTTTATTCTCATTCTATGTGACTTTACCGAAAGAACCAAAGAAGATGAATCCTTGCAGTCACGAAAGCTTTAAATCGAAAAATGCCTACCTCATTACAGACCAATTCAGCCCTTATTGGTCACCCCATACCCTTATAAATCTCAACGTTCATCCTACAGTCTCATCACAAGGGAGATACACAAACAAATCGACAAACAAAAAATGCCCGTATTGAAACGGCTGTACGCCGTATGGACCTGAAGACTCCCTGTACAAGAATACAGGTAAACCGTATGGGTTGACAGGTATGCAAATGCATTCGTGGCTCAAAACACGCGTGAAAGATCCCCTTAACCAGCCGCGCCTCGCGACCCCTCATCACCTGGGTCTCTCATGCCCTCACCTGCACCTCATTTGGACCACCAGCTCACTCATCATCATCCCCTCATCTGATCACACCCCTCTCCTCACTCCCATCTGTCGTCTGCTCACCCCATGTCTCTGCTTACCCTTTATTCATCGGGGTCTCAGTCCGTTAGCAGCTCCCCTCACCCCTCCACTCTCCCCCTCCTCTCTCCTTACTTGGGATCTCTCCCTTCACATATCCTATCCCACTGCTGGATTTCTATTCTTCTGACCCCTGAACTCTCAACCCTCTCCTCACCTGGATCTCTCCTCCGCTCATCCAATCACTCCGCTCACCCCTCCACTCTCTCCTCGCCTGGGATCTCCTCCTCCTCCTCTGCTCATCCCATCTCTCGCTCCCCAGCCCAGTTCCACCCCATCACCTCCACCACCACCACACCTGGATCTCCGTCTCGAGGTTACGCAGGCGGCGTGACGCCGCTGCAAGCAGAGTCTCGAGCTCGAGCTGCAGCGTGTCCAGCTCCTCGGGACCCACGCCGTCCTCGGCCGGGCGGCTCAGCACGGCCGTGTAGCGCGGGCACTGGCGCGTGTGCTCCACGGCGCGGAAATCGTGGAACTCCAGCGGACACTCCTTGAGCTCGCTCATGGCGACCACGGTTCCCCGCCCGTCACGCACGCCTTCAAGAGACGCCACAAACAACAGGATCTTTGTACTGTACCGGAGGAATCCGATGATCAATGAAGGTTTTTTTTTCCGACAGATGTCCAGACGGCGCACTTAAAACACCGGTTCCCACACACATAGCACAACACTCACAAGTCTCAGAAAACTCACTCAGTTCACACACCACAGCATGGCTCACCAAGCCCAGACTTTGCTCACTGGGATTCCAACGCCACAAGGCGGTAACCGAGACCCAGGGCCCACGCTCACCCAAATCCCAACCCCACACGGCGGTCACCGAGACCCAGGGCCCACGCTCACCCAGATCCCAAACCCACAAGGCAGTCACCGAGACCCAGGGCCCACGCTCACACAGATCCCAACTCCACACGATGGTCACTGGGACCCAGGGCCCACGCTCACCCAGATTCCAACCCCACACGGCGGTCACCGAAACCCAGGGCCCACGCTCACCCAGATCCCAACCCCACACGATGGTCACTGAGACCCAGGGCCCACGCTCACCCAGATCCCAACCCCACACGATGGTCACTGAGACCCAGGGCCCACGCTCACCCAGAGCCCAACGCCACACGATGGTCGCTGAGACCCAGGGCCCACGCTCACCCAGATCCCAACCCCACACGATGGTTACTGAGACCCAGGGCCCACGCTCACCCAGACCCCAACTCCACACGATGGTCACTGAGACCCAGGGCCCGGCATTCACCCAGAACCCAATGCCACAAGGCGGTAACCGAGACCCAAGGCCCAGCACTCACCCAGATCCCAAGCCCACAAGGCGGTCTCACGGACCCAGGGCCCGGCACTCACGCGGCCCGCAGTCCCCACTGCTCGCGGTCCCCTCTCGCTCGGCCTCTCGGCCGCTTTCTTTCCGCGCGCGCCACAGCCAATCGCAGCCGCCTCCGCGCGTCACGTGCCGCCCATTGAGCCAACCGAACGTGGGTTTTGTTAATCCGTATTACATTTTCAAATACGCGGTTTGGTCGTGCCGCCGGTCACGCGGTGCGGTTGGACCAATAGCGTTCACGACTGGAGGCGGTTTACGCCTTATACGGGGTATGTTTTTAAATTTCAGGTGTTCCCCATTACACACATAGGGGAAACGCGTAAAGTAAAGTGTGCTTCTTTATATTCTTAGTTCTTTCGGTAAAGTCACGTTGAAGGGAAACAACAAAATAATAAAGTATATATAAAACAATACAAAATTCTCACGACGTTTCGACCATAACACAAACGGTCGTCTTCAGGTGTGTTGGTTTGCATACATTTATTTTTAAACGGTGTGCTTCTTTATATTCTTGGTTCTTTCGGTAAAGTCACGTAGAAGGGAAACAATAAAGTAATACAAACATAAAACAATAAAATTATCACGACGTTTCGACTGCAACACAAGCAATCATCAGGTGTGAAAACCACAAGAAAATTTGAATTCTTTAATTACAAATAGATATTCTTAGCTCTTTCGGTAAAGTCACGTGACTTTACCGAAAGAGCTAAGAATATGAATGACTGCAGTCACGAAAGCTTTAAATCAAAATACAAATAGATAATTGCTCTTTTAACGCCATCGCTGTACAACTACATGGTTTACAGTTAATTTACAAGAGTAAATCAGAAGTCACCAGATAGACGTGTCTGAATTCAGCGAGAGATTCGTTCATGAGGCCATTCACATATACAAGCACAGAGACAATTTTAACCGAGAAGATGGATTCTGGCTTAGTAACCATTGGAAAGATGTTTTAAACCATTTATGTTCTTAATTAATTGTATTTTATGATGACCTTCAGACCGCAGCTCTTTCGCTGGCATTGACTCTTAATACCTCTCACACCACGGTTAATGGCATGGTTTACAACATGGAGTATAATAGCGCCTCGCAGCTGTCTCTCTCCCCCTCCTCTGTTCCGACAATGGATGAACTCGTCCGTCTGAACGGGGCTCGTAGCTGTCCGTGGTGCTAAAGTTGAGGGTAAGAATCCACCCATTTTTTCGCCATATAGCATTGTGATATATAACGACTTATTGTTGGTAGCTTAGCTGATTGGAGAATATAGAGTTTATTGATAACATTGAGGTAATTTATATTTTAGTATTTTTTATTGGTTCACTATATAGTATTCATTATATATTGTATTGTATACCCAGTTACTGTGAACAGCTCAGATGTGTAGGCCTTGACTTCAACATAGCCATTTGTGTGACCAGTCACTAGCTAATCACTCATTTATTTCAATGCTAAATTCGCCTAGTTATTTCAATGCTAAATTCTCCTGTTTGATTTGTACTAAGTGCCTCGGTGAATGTGTATGCTCTGACTTTAACATAGCTATTTCTGTGACCAGTTACAAGCTAATCACTCAGCTATTTCAATGCTAAATTCTATGCTAATTCCTTTGTCAGGGGGTGCCTCTGCGGATGTGTATGCTTTAACTTAGCTATTTCAATACTAAATTATATGCTAATTCCTTTGTCAAGGGGTGCCTCTGCGGATGTGTATGCTTTAACTTTTAACATAGCCATTTCTGTGACCAGTCACAAGCTAATCACTCAGCCATTTCAATGCTAAATTATATGCTAATTCCTTTGTCAAGGCGCTTTGTTTCCTCTCACACAGCTTAAAGGTCGTGATCTGAACGTGGCTTTTTCACTCCAGCGCTGTCCTACCAGACAGTTTCGTCCCTTCACCTGATGAAGGCCGCTTGTGTTATGGCCGAAACGTCGTGAGAATATTATTGTGTTATTTTATTTTGTCAATTAATTATTTTATTCTCATTCTACGTGACTTTACCGAAAGAACCAAAGAAGATGAATCATTGCAGTCACGAAAGCTTTAAATCGAAATTTAACTGTTGGTAACTGTAGGAATATATAAAAATATGTAGGGATTTGTAACCCCCCCCCCCCGCCGCCTGGGCTAAGTGGTTCGGCCCGTGCCTCGTGGGGGGGGGGGCAGCGTCAATCAGGGCGGGGCGTCAATCAGGGCGGGGCGCGCATGCGCAGTGAGCGCGGCGGCACGCGAGGAGACGGAACGCAGCCATGGTGAGGGCGCGGCGGGGCGCGGCGGGGCCGCTTCGGGTCGCTTGGTAGACGATCACTCGCCCCCGATTGGGGCTAGGGTCACCGGTCACGGCCCGGGTCTCTCAAACGTTGGGCTCGGTGGCGAATTGGTGGAGTGTTGCGTCCTCGTGCCCGGAGTCGAGCGGTGGGAGCGGCGCTCGGGCGCGGTCGCGATTTCGCTTCCGCGTTCCGCTGCGTTCACTCGAGGAGCGCGGCACCAGTGGTGGTGCTGTGGTACACTACGAGTGTGGTGGTGGTGCTGTGGTACATTACGAGTGTGGTGGTGATGTGGTGCACTACGAGTGTGGTGGTGCTGTGGTACACTACGAGTGTGGTGGTGCTGTGGTACACTACGAGTGTGGTGGTGCTGTGGTACATTACGAGTGTGGTGGTGCTGTGGTACACTACGAGTGTGGTGGTGATGTGGTGCACTACGAGTGTGGTGGTGCTGTGGTACACTACGAGTGTGGTGGTGCTGTGGTACACTACGAGTGTGGTGGTGCTGTGGTACACTACGAGTGTGGTGGTGCTGTGGTACACTACGAGTGTGGTGGTGGTGCTGTGGTACACTACGAGTGTGGTGGTGATGTGGTGCACTACGAGTGTGGTGGTGCTGTGGTACACTACGCGTGTGGTGGTGCTGTGGTACACTACGAGTGTGGTGGTCGTGCTGTGGTACACTACGAGTGTGGTGGTGGTGCTGTGGTACACTACGAGTGTGGTGGTGATGTGGTGCACTACGAGTGTGGTGGTGCTGTGGTACACTACGAGTGTGGTGGTGCTGTGGTACACTACGAGTGTGGTGGTGCTGTGGTACACTACGAGTGTGGTGGTGCTGTGGTACACTACGAGTGTGGTGGTGCTGTGGTACACTACGAGTGTGGTGGTGCTGTGGTACACTACGAGTGTGGTGGTGCTGTGGTACACTACGAGTGTGGTGGTGCTGTGGTACACTACGAGTGTGGTGGTGGTACTGTGGTACACTACGAGTGTGGTGGTGCTGTGGCACACTACGATGTGGTAGTGCTGTGGTGCACTACGAGCGTGGTAGTGGTGCTGTGGTGCACTACGAGTGTGGTGGTGCTGTGGTACACTACGAGTGTGGTGGTTCTGTGGTACACTACGAGTGTGGTGGTGCTGTGGTACACTACGAGTGTGGTGGTGCTGTGGTGCACTACGAGTGTGGTAGTGCTGTGGTGCACTACGAGTGTGGTGGTGCTGTGGTAGTCCACCCGGGGCCATGCCCCTGTAATCAAGCGCCCGCGACATCGTCCCGGGTAGCCGCTAGACCCGAGGCGGCGCGTGATTCGTAGACGCGGCGATTGTGGGTCTCCAGTACAGTACCGGATGTCGGTGTTCCGGAGTAGGGAATATACTAATTGGTTCTTTCGGTAAAGTCACGTAGGTAGAAATAAAATGAAACAAAAACACGTTAGGAAATATGTTCCGAGTCATTGCTGCCTCTGACCACATCGCCAGTGCGTAATCGGAAACTGAGAGAGATTAGAGCTTGGTTGGGTCGTGCTTGCAATTCCATACCTGTCAACCCCTTATCAGTGCCCTACCTTATAACAGACCAACTCAGACTTGATTGGTCACCCCGTGCCCTTATAAGTCTCAACGTTCATCCTACAAAGTCCCATCACAAGAGAGAAACACAAGCAAATAGACAAATATATATTGCCCGTATTGAAACAGCTGTACGCCATATGGACCTGAAAACGAAATTTTCCTGTACAAGAATGCGAGTAAACCATAGTATGGGTTGACAGGTTTACAATTCAGCCCGTTATTCCTCCGGGGGTCGATAAAACTCGCCACCCAGTATCAGGGAATGTAATATTTTCATAACTCGTTTGTTTTACGTGTTCAGTGCTGTGGAACGGATGACCACCAAATTGTAACAAGCAGCCGCTGCTGCTATCGGTGGCCCTTTGGGGGCTTTCAAGATCTGCAGAGGCCAGCGCATCAAAACAACCCTCTTGGTTTAAGTTAGTTTTATGTAACCAGGTGAGAAGGCGAACAAGAGACGCGAGATGAGTCTCATTTGCAAGAGTGATCCCGGAGGCATTAGTCTGATGATTTCAGCAAATTGCTGAATCCCATTTGAGCAATGTGTGGGCGATTTTGGAATTTGTCAAATTTGTACACGTTAGATATTTAACTCTTACGATTGGCATCAGGCGGTGTGGGTTGGTGGGGGTCTTTAACGTCCAATGTGAAGCGTACTGCTCCGGCTATTATACCCACAGTATTAATCATGTCGGCCGCTGCATTCAAAACTACTACCAACCTCTGTAACAAGCAGCGAACGCCTATTGCCACAAGGCCATGCCACCGGCCCCCGCGCTACTCTACGATACAGTACTTATTTAAAACCATCTGAGAGCCAGCTGAGCGGTGAAGTCAATGATTGCATTGTACGTCTTACGATGCGCACATGCCCACGTTCTCCCCGCCTTTAAATCTGCACTGACCGACAATGTGGGGGGGGGGGGAAGTATGGTCAAATAACCCGTGCTGTGCGGCACGCCGCGTCGAGGAGGCTGTCCCTGTGTGTACTGTAAACGAGAGGGTATTGTGAAAATGCACACACATTTGTTAAAAAACAGTGTGTTCTTCAAAGTAATAAACAGCAGTAGGTGACGTGTCAAGCATTGGCCCTGCACAGCACATAGGCCACAGGTAGCGTCTCACCTCTCCCCGTCGCCAAATAGAGATATACATATTCCTTTTAAGGCAGTGTTATTACCTTGCTGATTTTGTCAAGGAGTGCACGGACCATCACGCAAACTCCAGAATCATCCCTGGATAACACGGCGAGCAAAGCCGGTGGTCACTGCATCGCGCGGCGCTTTCGGATGCCCTTATTCAGCAGTCTGGAATGGTCTTCCGATATAAGGAAGCCACTGGAGCTAAGCACTTTTTAAAATCTACATTGAAAACTAATTTATTTAGAACTGCGTTTTGTGTTTAGTTTGTTATCCTTCCCCCGCACCTCCAATTAGCAAACTTGGGAGGACCCTCGTAAAATAAGAGTCATGAGTCTCAGTGAGGCTGTCCTGACTGAAATAAAATTACATAATAGTCAACAATAGCGCTTTCCGCCTGTGTACGTGTGCACCCCTGTGCGTGCGTGTACGTGGTACAGACGGCGACTCTGCGGCCCTACCTGAATGCGGTGCGCGCCACACTACAGGCCACACTCTGCCTGGAGAACTTCTCCTCGCAGGTCGTGGAGCGGCACAACAAGCCCGAGGTGGAAGTGAGGTACGTGGTCCCTCCTGCTCCCTCCCTCCTTTCTGCTCCCTCCTCCCTCCGGTTTCCTCATGCTCCCTCCCTCCACCTGCTCTTCTTCCACCTGGACTGGAAGCCGCAGCACACTAAGCTCAATTAATTTATTGAAACAACGTTAAATTTTGATTTAAAGCTTCCGTGACTGCAGGGATTCATGTTCTTGGTTCTTTCGGTAAAGCCACATGAGAAATGTATTGTTTTATATTTTTATTATTTTATTGTTTGCCTTCTACGTGACTTTACCGAAAGAACCAAGAATATGAAACAACGTTGTAAGAGGCAGTGCTGTAAGAGGAATGCCTGCACTGAGGTGGCTATGCTGAGATGACTATTTTAGTGGCTGTACTCAGGTGGCTATGCTGAGGTGGTCAGACTGAGAAGGCTATGCCGAGGTAACTGGACTGAGGTGGCTAAACGAAGAAATATAATTTGAACATTAATATTATTAAATAGGAGCTGGGAATGGGTACATACAAAATAAACACGATTCAGGATATCTTATTTAGGCATGTAGTTCATAAATACATGGATTAGAGAACACACGCAGCTTACTGATATCATCCAAACTTTTAATAAAGGGTAAGTGGATATGGGCAGGATGTGTCATGGCTAAAAAGGATGGTGATGGACAGCGGTGAATGACGGAGTGGCTGTCCCGGCATGGATTCATCCACCGAGGAGATGGGAGTGATGAAATCCTTTCGCGTGCACACGATGGATGGATTTATCATCTTTGCGGGATCGTGAGAGGCAGCAACGGCTTGGGGAGAGGATTTCATCCAGCAGTAGATTGAGCACGACTGACGTTGAGTTCGGATGGGCAGAGGTTTTTAGTCGGCAAAATAAAGTGGGTCAAGGAAAAGAGGTCGCGTCCAAATTAGAAATCGTTTGCCAACATGAGGGGACGATCGCTTTCAGCCGTGGCTCTCGTCACCAGACGGGGAAGAGACTTGGCCAGAAATCGGAATGGCCGGAGAGAGTCTGCGAGTCGTCTAGCGAGTTGCCTGCGTGCTCCGACTTGTTATTGTTACCAAGGCACTCGGTCACACGATCGGGACGCGCGGTCGTGATAACTTCGACTTGGGCCCGCCGCCAGCGTCGCGACAAGCGGTGGCGCTTGGCGCAGGTGAAATGCGCAGCGTCGCACCGCCCAGTCTGCCCCGCATCGACCCCCGAGAGCCCGGGAAGCCAGTTGCGCGTTGCAAGCTAAAATAATATTTTATTCTACGTTCACACCACTGTATATTCTATTCAAGTAACAAATAAGCGGGTAGTTCCACCTCCACGTGTCTGGGAGAGCTTGAATCCAGCGGGAATTGGTTCAACACGAAACAACTGTGGACCATTTTGAGAATTCATTGTCTCCAAATATGCTTGAACCAATGCTGGTGAACTGCCAGATGTTTATAGACAGGGGACCCTCTCCATTAGATCTGGGTCCTTATGTACATTCTGGAGTTGCACCGCAGATAGATTCAATAAATTCGCACCGAAGAAGGACGTGTGAATTAGCCTTGTTCATATTCTTGATTCTTTCGGTAAAGTCACGTAGAAGGGAAACAATAAAATAATAAGAATATTAAACAATAAAATTCTCACGACGTTTCGACTGCAACACAAGCAATCATCAGGTGATTGCTTGGAACACAAGCAATCATCAGGTGATTGCTTGGAACACAAGCAATCATCATCAGGTGATTGCTTGTGTTGCAGTCGAATCATCATCAGGTGATTGCTTGTGTTGCAGTCGAAACGTCGTGAGAATTTAATTGTTTTATATTTTTATTATTTTATTGTTTCCCTTCTACGTGACTTTACCGAAAGAACCAAGAATATGAATCCCTGCAGTCACGAAAGCTTTAAATCAAAATTTAGACTTGTTCAGTCGTAGATGCTGGTCAGGTTCCTGAAGTCATAGAACACAGGGAGCCAGAACTCATAACTATTCAACTACTCCATAATATTGGTCGCGAAGGCCTACGTGTTAAACTATTCAACTACTGTTTATCCTATTTTTTATTTTACCAGCGGAAGGCCCACTGAGCTACTTATATATTTTTCAGACGTGACCTGGCCACAAATGATTGCATAACGAAGTGAGTTCTCACGTGTAAATGTATAGCAGCCAAATACTCAAAACGCCTCTTGATTCTAATTGTGGAGGGAAAAACCGGACGATCCGGGTAAAGATCAACGGGGAGAAAGACATGCAAACTCAATATATACAGCAGGCTTCAGGGTCTGGATCTAACCCACAACCTCCTGTATATCAGGCGAGAGAGTTAACTCTCTCGCCACCGCAGAGCTGCTGATCATGGACGAACTGTCGTGTACACAAGTATACTGCTGGTGGTCAGAAGTGGCGAGGGGAGTTAGGAGAATCACACCGTTGTGTTAACTGACCTCGTGCTGGCCATCAGACCCTACAGCTCCCAAAATTCAGACAACACAGAACGGTAAATACAGGGAAAGCCCAGCAACGTTGCTCAGCGGGGAGAAACAGCAGCTCCACAATCTAGGTTTCACCTCCTGGTTGGAGGTTGACTTGGCCCATCATCCTTTGGGAGGGGGGTCTATAAAATAGCTACCACTTTGTGCGGAAGTCAACCGTGGTTGTCCCGTGGGAGAGACTCGCCCCCGCTATACGAATGTGGAATTTCCACCAGTGGCTCAGGGCTGTGAAGTGGAGATGAGCACCAATGGCTCCATGTTCATTTGAGGAGCGGGAAATCACCCGTAGGCAGGTGATGGCACTTTGCCGAAACACACCACGTGTGGCCTCACGCGCGTTTTACGGCCGCCTTCCCCGTGCTGCCTCGAGCAGGAGCGGCAAGGAGCTGCTGCTGCAGCCCGTGATGATCAGCCGCAACGAGAAAGAGAAGGTCCTCATCGAGGGCTCCATCAACTCCGTGCGCATCAGCATCTCCGTGAAGCAGGTACCGCTCGGACGCCTGCACGCACGCACCCGGCCCGCGTTGGCCTCGTGTTAAAGTGTGCACCCCGTGTGCCGTGCGGGCCCTGACACGCACCTTGCCCTTTGCCCCCCCACCGCTCTCCCCAGGCCGATGAGATCGAGAAGATTTTGTGCCACAAGTTCATGCGCTTCATGATGATGCGGGCGGAGAACTTCTTCATTCTGCGGCGCAAACCTGTGGAGGTATAACCCCTCACCGCTCGTCGCCCCTTCACCGGTCGCCCCCCCGCCCTCACCTCACCTCTCCTCGCCCTCAAACACACGTCTCAGCTTCCTCACCCCTCTCCAAATCCTCTAAACTAACTAAACTAAACTTTTTATTTTACCAGGTAAGGCCCCTACTGAGATATGTAGCTCTTTTTCAGAAGCAATCCTGGCCATCACAAGTGATAGCTCGGCGAAAGTGGCTTGTCGTCGCATGGGAATTTACAGCAGCCAAATACTCGAAAAGCATGACGTTGATTGTAAAATGTGGAGGGGAAAAACCGGAGGACCCGGTAAAAAATCCACGCGACCGCGGGAAGAGAGAGGGAGAGACACGCAAACTCCAAATATATACAGCAGCAGGCGTCACGGTCGGGATAAAACCCGCGACCCTCTGCATACCCGGAGAGGTAGTTAACATCTCCTAGCCACCATGGCGCCCTCCTCACCCCTCTAACCCTACACCCTCTCTGCCTAACCTCTTAACCCTCACTCTAGTCCTCACACTTCATCCCCCTGTGTCACCCTTTCCTCTTAATTCCTCAACCTTATCCCCGTGTCTCACCTATCCACCTGTGGCATAGGGGTATGTGTGTGTGTGTCTGTATTTACAGCTCGTTAGAGATTGAGCTGGTAGTGCGTGGTGTCACGGAGTGTTAGTGGTGTGTGTGTCGTGTTTATGGCAGAGTGCACACACGACGGTGCGTGTGGTGGTGTGCGACCGACGCGAATTTGCTGCTCCGACGAGCACTGAGGCGGCGCTCGCATCCTGCATAAAGCCCCATGACCAGTGCTGGAAATTCCACATTTCTACGGTGGGGCTGAGACTGTATCGGACAACCGCTGTTGACTTCCCCACGTAATCGGTACTCGTTTGCAGTCAAGCCGCAGTTCCTCCATGACTTGAAAACTCGCATCCGTTTCCCCATTTTCTTAAGGAACCAAAACCTTGGACCATCGTTATTTTATAATAACTATCGGCCTAAATCAATGCTGCCATTTTTTTAAGCAAAAAATAACTCGTTGACAGACTACAGATGCGGGAACATCTGTACTCTGGAAGACTTGTTGAGAATCAACCGGTCTGGAATTCGACCCCCCCTTTATAGCACTGAGACAGTGTGCCGTGTGCCATGTGCAGTGTAACGGATATGGTGTACGGTGTGCCCTGTGCGGTGTACGGTGTGCCCTGTGCAATGTGCCGTGTGCGTTGTACACTGTGCTACGCCTGCTACATCGAAAACGGCCTCTTTCCCCCCCCCCCCCTTTTGTGGGCGCTGCGCAGGGCTACGACATCAGCTTCCTCATCACCAACTTCCACACGGAGCAGATGTACAAGCACAAGCTGGTGGACTTCCTCATCAACTTCATGGAGGAGATCGACAAAGAGATCAGCGAGATGAAGCTGTCCGTCAATGCCCGCGCTCGCATAGTGGCCGAGGAGTTCCTAAAAAACGTGAGGCTATCACCGAGACTCCTCATCGAGACTCACCATCACAGAGACTCATCACTGAGACTCACCATCACAGAGACTCATCACTGAGACTCGCCATCACAGACTCATCACTGAGACTCGCCATCACAGAGACTCCTCACTGAGACTCACCATCACAGACTCATCACTGAGACTCACCATCACAGAGACTCATCACTGAGACTCACCATCACAGAGACTCATCACTGAGACTCACCATCACAGAGACTCATCACTGAGACTCACCATCACAGAGACTCATCACTGAGACTCACCATCACAGAGACTCATCACTGAGACTCATCACTGAGACTCACCATCACAGAGACTCATCACTGAGACTCACCATCACAGAGACTCATCACTGAGACTCATCACTGAGACTCACCATCACAGAGACTCCTCACTGAGACTCACCATCACAGAGACTCATCACTGAGACTCACCATCACAGACTCCTCACTGAGACTCACCATCACAGAGACTCATCACTGAGACTCACCATCACAGAGACTCCTCACTGAGACTCACCATCACAGAGACTCATCACTGAGACTCACCATCACAGAGACTCCTCACTGAGACTCATCACCGAGACTCCTCACCATCACAGAGACTCATCACTTAGACTCACCATCACAGAGAGTCATCACTGAGACTCACCATCACAGAGACTCCTCACTGAGACTCACCATCACAGAGACTCATCACTGAGACTCACCATCACAGACTCCTCACTGAGACTCACCATCACAGAGACTCATCACTGAGACTCACCATCACAGAGACTCCTCACTGAGACTCGCCATCACAGCTACTCATCACTGAGACTCGCTATCACAGACTCCTCACTGAGACTAACCATCACAGAGACTCATCACTGAGCCTCACCATCACAGAGACTCCTCACTGAGACCGTCACTGAGACTCCTCACAGAGAGACTCCCTGAAACGCCCTCACCCATTACCGAGGGCTCGCTCGCTACCGTCAGTCACTCGGCACTCGAGACCCAGGCACCGCCGTCACTCACTCAGGGTCCTCTGGGTGCTCATTTAGAAGCTGGCTGCTGCTGAGAGGTTGCGGATGAAATTCCGTGGTGGTGGTGACGCCTCCTGTCTTTGTCGTTACAGTTCTAGGCTGAGACGGCGGGAGCCCTGCAAGACGTGCCCAGCCGAGGACAACCGCCCCCCCCCCCCCCCCCAGCTTGCGTCCACACGGCGCAACCCGGCCCCGGTCCCTCTAGCGGCGTGCTGCCACCTCCACGGATTTGTTTTTGTACAAAGAAATTGTTGGCAGTGGGCTCGCTTGTAAACGACGTGTGATTCGGATGATGTCAGTGACGATGCATATTCATTCATGAGCCGTTAACCAGCCACGCTTTTGAGAACCATTTCCATCCCCGGCTTATTTTTGTATGTGCCTCCTCTTCCTCCTCGCCTGGCAGGGCCGAGCGCATGCTGATGTGCACCCGGGGGAGGGGGCGGTGGTCACGCCGCTAGGGTTTTTATTGACAGCTCAGTGGGGGCGGTCTAACGAGCCTGATGGAAAGACGGCGTCAATAAAAGCAATAACACCCTCTCGGCGCACAGCCCTCCTTGAACCCTAATCGTGATGCCCCCGCCTCCCCCCCCCCCACAGATTCTATTCTCAGAATGTATTCTCAGATTGTATTCTCGCCGTTCGTTCACTGGGGCAGCGGCGCGACCTCCCAGCGGTGGAGAGCGTGTTCGCTGCCCTTAAGATGCCCCGGCGTAAAGCACAGAGGGGAGCGGCGGTGTGTGGGGGGGGACACGGGCGGGCGGTGGGGGTCTGGGCCCAAGTGAGTGCCGTAAGTTTTGTCACTGGAGCATCCGAATAAAAACGACCGCAGCTCGCCGAACCCATGTGTGATGTGCTCTTGCTCGAGGGAGACAAAAAAAAAATGTGATTCGACCGACCATCATAGGTTTTTTTGTTTTTTTAAAGCAGTCCTTTATTATTTCTAAGTCTATGCTAACGGGGCGCCGGGCGGGTTGGCGAGCAAGGATGCAGCAGCTCCTCGCGGCTGGTCGGGTGGATCTCGCGCTCCTCCGCGCCACCCGCGGCTCACCCCAGCTCTGTGTGCACCTGTGGGCAGGGGACCAAGGGGAAAAGCGTGGGCGGTCGAGGTGAAAGAGTCGGTGAATGGGAAAGCACGGGTGGGTGAGGAGTTGAGTGAGTGAGCGGCTCGGCGGGTGGATGAGTCGTTGGGTGGAAGCGAGCAGAGGTGGGTGGGCTCGTGCAAGGCAGTGGTTGGAAGTGAACGGATTTGTGGGTGAGCGGGTGGGTGGGTTACCGGTAGGTGGGTTGGTCAAAGTGAGCGGGTGAAAGTCTGCAATTAGGTGCGTGGGAAAAAGAAGCAAGTTGGCGATAGAATCCCTGGCATGGCTGACGGTGTGGGGAGCAGTCCCCCACGCCCGTGGGCAGCCAAGCGATGGCGCGAGCGTTTCTACCGACCGCGACGGGAGCCCGCGGGGCCAGAGCTCGGCAACGGCGCCCGTTAGTCGGTGGAGAGCCTCGGCGGAGCCGCGTGCCCCGGCTCCAAACCGCGCCACTTCGGGCACCGGCGTGGAGACGGCGTCCGTGCTCGGCGTGGTTGCGGTGCGGCGTTGTCCGTGCGTACCCCGCTTCGGCCCCGCTGCAGGCAGTGGACGGCAGCCGCGTGCACGCTGGGGAACAGCCTGGCGCCTCCCGGGTCCGTTGCTGTGCCCGTCTCCGTGACGCCGGGCGTGAAGAACCCACAGGAGTGGAGCTGCTCCAGGACGCAGTCTCCTCGTGCGGGGGGCGGGGTGGGGGAGACGGTGACGGGCACGGTGCCACCGTCACGGCCGTGCGGGCGCGGGCGCGGCAACGCGGGCGCGGGTCGAGTATGTGCGAGCGCAGCCCTTACCCTGACAGGCGGCGATGCACACCTCCAGGCCCATCGCGCCCAGCCCCGCCATGGCCTGTGACGCACACGCCGAGCGCAACAACAGCAGCAGCAGGAGCCGACGTTCGCCAGCAAGTGGTGGGGACGTCACCACGGTGATTTGTGCCGAGCGCAGGCCGATAACGGTGACCCTTCCCGGAGACGTCGGGCCAGGCCCCGGCTCGAGAGTCGCGCTCTCACGTTGAGGAGATGCACCTGCTGGTTGTGTCCGCTAGCGGATGCCCACCGCGACTCGTGCTCCTAATGGCCTATCCGCCCCGTGGTCTCGCGTCGTCGCTTTGTGGGCGGGAATTGCGAGTGGCGAGGAGCAGCGGAAGACGTCGTGGTCCCATCGGTTATCAGATCCATGCGGGGAGGTGGCCGGGTGGTTCGGAGGCCAAGAGCGCTGAGCCAGCGATGCTGAGATCCTAGGTTCTAATTCGGGTTTCAAGCCACCATTGTGATTAAACCGGATACTCAAGTGTGGTGAGTTGATGGCCCCAGGTACGGTCACCAATGGATGCACGCAAAAAAAACACATTAAATCACGCGAACTCCGGTCATTCTCGCAGCGGCGTTTGGCTAAGATGGTCACTACATCTTTCAGATGTGCTGCGGCCATCTGGAACGCTCTTCCGATATGAGGAAGCCACTGTTGCCGTGCACTTTTAAATCATCTAGATTGAAAACTCATTTATTTCGAACTGCTTTGTGTGTTTAGTTGTCCCCTCCCCCCGCACCTCTGATTGGCCACGGTTGGCTACGTACAGTACGAAAGAAGTTGACTGGCCACTGGTAGTTCGGGTGACCGTGGAGTGAATCGGCGAGCAGCGAGCGACACGGCCCGCCTGGGTTACGCCTCCACGTGTCCTCACCGTCTTGAGGGTCTTCACGGCAACGGTGTCCACCAGGTTGACCGGAGAGAAGTCCAGAATGAGCGAGTGGGTGTCGGGCCGGGGAGCCGCGTGGTCCTCGGTGTCCGGCGCCATCAGCCCCGGCAGCCCCAGCGCGCACGCCCTCCCCGCCGGCTCCACCGCCAGCCCCGGCTCGGCACCGGGCGCCGTCATCTGGGCCCCGTCTCCCGTGGCTGGTGCCACCTGCAGATGGTGGGGGTGGGGGGGCGGCCACATCGCAGAGTGACACGAGTCGTCGGTGGGGCCATCGATATCGTGGGCAGCGGGGAAGGTCATCGCATTTCCACTGTGCCGATGTTCGTTGCAGCGCCACTGGAAGCCCTCTGATGGCCTTTAGTTGCGGCCCCCTGAACGTGCGCCCCCCCCCCCAGACAATACACGACATTTGAAACACCCCCCCTCCCATCATCATCGCGCTGCCGTCACACCCCCCAATGCTTTCACATGGTGTGGCGGTCCCTCGCTCACACTGATGATGTCTTATCGGCGAAAGTGGCCCCAATCTGAAAATTGGTCAAGAACACTGCCATGTACGGCGGGGTCGCGGACATCTGTAAGCGGTCATAATATTTGCATAGGCGTAGCCAGGGTCATACACGGTAGTGTCAATGGCAGGTTTAATTGGAATCGCTCTTTCATCATTCCAACACGAGTGTCATTCATTGTTCGGGGTATCCGTAGGCTCATGATTATCCGAATCATCAGCCGGGTCAACAATCCTATAGAGGTGCGTGGTTATTGCATTTTCACAGATGTCGGGACATCATCGTGGCCATCGGCTGTCCGTGGCCGCATCGGTGCTGGGTCCTGGAGGAGGTGAAAGTTGACGAGGCACGAATGGACCATGAGATGAGAGTGAAGCGAGAGCGAGTGGAGGAGATGAGAGATGAAGCGATGGGAGTTGCGTACAAACGAGTAAATTCAGGTCTGGCTAGGGGGTGGAGTTACAGTAGGTGACTGTCAGGGTGAGTGGAGAAGCGGTAGTGTAGCAGCGCGCTGCGCTACGAACCCAGCGACCCTAATTCGATTCCTGCTCGCGACCAATAACGATGACGAATATCTGGACCCGGTCCTGGCCCACCCCTAGGTCAACTCGGCCTCGAATGAGTGCCTCTTTGCGATGTGTCAATATCGCCGCTCGGGAGGCAAAGGCGGTCGGGCGTGGTGCTGGCTACCCACCCCCTCCCTCGTGTGCCGTGCCGGCCTTCATTAAGTGCTCGCTAACAGCACTTGCCCCAACAGTCTGCTAAGGCTATACAGCAGATCTTTGTCTTTGGGATATGAATTGGGAAGGGGGTAGATGATGTGGGTGGATGGGGTTGGAGCAAAGGCAGATACAACTATAAACTATTACAACTATAAACTAGTACAACTATAAACTAGTACAACTATAAACTATTGCAACAATTGTTTTTTTTATCTTACCTGCAGGTACGTCCCACTGAGCTGTGTAGCTATTTTTCAGAAGTGACCTGGCAATCAACAATGATAACTCAACGAAGTGGACTGTCACGTGAAAATCTATAGCAGCCAAATACTCTAAATGCGTGATGTTGATTCACTGTGTAAAACAAATAGTGTCCCTGGGTAGTAAGTGTTATTTCCTAATTGCTTATGTGACCAGGACACAACAGCAAAGTTAATAATCCACTCCATTAATAACACTAACAAATACATTAAAATTGTGTCCCTGGGTAGTAAGTGTTATTTCCTAATTGCTTATGCCTCAAAAGTACATAAAATGGCTATTCCCCACAAACTTTGCTTTTGTGACCAGGACAGTGATATTTTGAAATGTTACTATTTTCAATGAGAAAACGTGGTGTGCATTTGTGCCATTCCTTCACGTAAAGTCCTGGTCACAAAAGCAAAGTTTGTGGGGAATAATAGCCATTTTCTATACTTTTTAGGCATAAGCAATTAAAAAATAACACTACCCAGGGACAAAAATCGTGTTACATAGTGAATTCTAAATGTGGAGGACCTGAGAAAAATCCACGCGACCATGGGGAGAGAGACACACAAAGTCCAAAAAAATTACAGCACGCGTCAGGGTCGGGATTGAACCCACGTCCTGTATACCAGGCGAGGTGGTTAACATTTCGCCACCGTGGCGTGAGTCGATAAGGTGTAAGTGGCAGAATGAGAGGAGGAGGAGTGAGTGGAGGCGGTGTGAGTGGAAGAGGTGTGAGTGGAGGTGTGAATGGATGTGAGTGGAGGTGTGAATGGATGTGAGTGGAGGAGTAAATGGAGGATTGAGTGGAGGAGTGAGTGGAGGAGTGAGTGGAGGAGTGAGTGGAGGAGTGAGTGGAGAAGTGAGTGGAGGTGTGAGTGGAGGAGTGAGTGGAGGAGTAAGTGGAGGATTGAGTGGAGGAGTGAGTGGAGGAGTGAGTGGAGGTGTGAGTGGAGGTGTGAATGGATGTGAGTGGAGGTGTGAATGGATGTGAGTGGAGGAGTGAGTGGAGGAGTGAGTGGAGGTGTGAGTGGAGGAGTGAGTGGAGGAGTGAGTGGAGGTGTGAGTGGAGGAGTGAATGGAGGATTGAGTGGAGGAGTGAGTGGAGGTGTGAGTGGAGGAGTGAGTCGAGGTGTGAGTGGAGGTGTGAGCGGAGAAGTGAGTGGAGGAGTGAGTGAAGGAGTGAGTGGAAAGGTGAGTGGAGGTGTGAGTGGAGGAGTGAGTGGAGGAGTGAGTGGAGGAGTGAGTGGAGGTGTGAGTTGAGTGAGCTGAGTGAGTGGAGGTGTGAGTGGAGGAGTGAGTGGAGGAGTGAGTGGAGGAGTGAGTGGAGGTGTGAGTGGAGGTGTAAGTGGAGGAGTGAGTGGAGGTGTGAGTGGAGGAGTGAGTGGAGGAGTGAGTGGAGGGGTGAGTGGAGGAGTGAGTGGAGGAGTGAGTGGAGGAGTGAGTGGAGGTGTGAGTGGAGGAGTGAGTGGAGGATTGAGTGGAGGAGTGAGTGGAGGAGTGAGTGGAGGAGTGAGTGGAGGCGGTGTGAGTGGAAGAGGTGTGAGTGGAGGAGTGAGTGGAGGAGTGGAGGTGTGAGTGGAGGAGTGAGTGGAGGTGTGAGTGGAGGAGTGAGTGGAGGTATGAGTGGAGGTGTGAGTGGAGGAGTGAGTGGAGGATTGAGTGGAGGATTGAGTGGAGGTGTGAGTGGAGGTGTGAGTGGAGGAGTGAGTGGAGGTGTGAGTGGAGGAGTGAGTGGCAGAGTGAGTGGCGGAGTGAGTGGAGGATTGAGTGGAGGATTGAGTGGAGGTGTGAGTGGAGGATTGAGTGGAGGTGTGATTGGAGGAGTGAGTGGAGGAGTGAGTGGAGGATTGAGTGGAGGATTGAGTGGAGGTGTGATTGGAGGAGTGAGTGGAGGAGTGAGTGGAGGAGTGAGTGGAGTGAGTGGAGGAGTGAGTGGAGGATTGAGTGGAGGAGTGAGTGGAGAAGTGAGTTGAGGAGTGAGTGGAGGAGTGAGTGGAGGTGTGAGTAGAGGTGTGAGTGGAGGAGTGACAGAAGGATGAGTCGTCTCGCCTTGTTGTTCCCTGGAGCCCCGTGAGCTCTTTGCCTGGAGCACCTCCTGTCTGGAGCCCGAGCCTGCTCCAGGAGCCCCGTCTGCGAACCGATGTCACGCGGTGAGCGGCGCCGACTCGCGACTGCGCATCTCGTTCACGGTGGCCCTGAGATGCTAACTCCCTCGCCTGCTACACAGGAGGTCGTGGGTTTGATCCCAATCCTGACGCCTGCTGTATATTTTGAGTTTGCGTGTCTCTGGGTCCTCCGGTATTTCCCCTCCACATTTTGTGTTTGGCTGCTGCTATAAATTTCCACGTGGCGATGATGATGAGCCCCACTTCATTGAGCTATCGTTCGTGATAGCCAGGTCGCTTCTGTAAAAGAGCTACATTGCTCAGTGGGCCTTACCTGGTAAAATAAAACAAAACAGTTTTAGTTTTTATCATTCACAGGGGAGAGCTCCCGGCTGCCCCCACAAGCAGACCTCCGTAAGAGGTTTGTGGGTTAGATCGCGTAAATATACATGTGTCGTTAAACCCGCCACCACCTGACACAACCAATCAATAAGGTTTGTCACGTGAACAAAACGTGGTCAATTCGTTACGAGTACAGCACACCGGTTGTGTGTTCGAGAGTAAAACCCACGCCAACATTTACAATTGAGACATCTACAACATTTACAAGGAGACCTCCACATCCTGACCATCGGCCGAGTCCACCAACTCGAGAGAGTCGACCCCGGGCGCAGAGCAGCGGTGCTCGCAATCGGAGGGTGGAGGCGCGGACTACTCGCTGTCTTCGTCCTTAAACCCTTCACCATCCTCCCGCCTTCCCCTCCCTAACTCCACCACCCTCCCTTTCCCGATCATCACCCTCGCTTGCCATCCTACCTCTCCCCCTTACTCGCCTCGCCAGTCCTTCCTTGCCCTATCATCGCCCTTCCTTGCCATCCCTTCCCCTCAACAACTCAAACTCCATCCATCATCATCAGCCAATAACTAATGCACCTGGCCTGGCACGGGCGCCGCGGTGACGTCGCCGTCACTTAGTGGCGAATGGCGAGTGGGACAACAACGAAAAGAGGGGGTGAGGAGCCGCCACCCCTAGGCCTTCACCTTCTTGACGAGGGCACGCACGTACAGCTCGACGTTGGCGAAGTAGAGGGCGGCGTTCGCCCGGAAGATCTTCACGCCAGGCAACTCCCGAGCCTGCACAGAGAGGCAGCGACCACCACCCCGCACCCAGCCAGCGTGTGGTCGCCACACGCCACGTGACCCGGTTACATCACAGAGGGCTCACGGCCCGGTCTTTGGAAGCTCTTGGTGGTGGTTAGCGGTGGTGGTTAGCGGTGGTGATTGGTTGTGGTGGTTAGTAGTGGTGGTTAGCACGGCGGTTAGCGAGCGGCTGCTCGACAAAAACCCGAGAACCGCGAGTTCGATTCCGGCTCGCGGCCAACACCGGTGACGATTATCTGAACCGGTCCTGAGCCTCCCACCGTAGATCGACTCGGCCTCAATTGAGTACCTGGCGCGGTGTGTAAATATCGCTAATGGGGAGACATAGGCGGTCGGGCGCTGTGCTGGACACCCACCCCCCTCGTGTACCGGCTCCGCCTTCATAGGCGTTACTCGTTAACAGCACTTGCCCCAACATTCTGTTAGAGGCTACACGGGGGATCTTCGTCTTTGGTGGTGATGGCGAAGTGCTGTGGTGATGTCGCTTTCACCGAGTGGCAAGTGGCAGTAGTTGATAGCGATTGGGTGTTGTGGTGTTGTTGGTGACATTGGTGATATCATGGTTTATGATGGTAGTATGGTTGTGCTGACGATGTTGACGATGGTTGTGGTGATTGTAATGGTGCTGTTTGTGGTAGCGGCGGTATTGATGGCGAGAGTGACGCTGTTGGTATTCTTGAAGGTGGCGATGGTGGTGATGGAGGTGGCGGTGGTGGTGATGGATGTGGTGATGATGATGATGTCAGTGATAATGACAACGGTGATGATGGCTGGTGTGTGCTCCATCCAGCGTCTACTACCTCCTTGGATTGGTTGAAACAACTTTTAGCCTTCAACCATTAACACGTTTCAACACTGTTGCTTTTCCATGCGCACATACAAAAGAAGATGGTAGTGGTAATGATGGTGGTGGTATTCGCGGTGGTATGGTGGTAATGGTGGTAGTGGCGATGATAGTAATGCTGCTGGTGGTGGTGGCGGTGGTGGTAGTTGTGATAGTAATGCTGGTGGTGGCGATGGTGGTGATGGTGGCGATGGTGATAGTGGTGGTGGCGATGGTGGTGGTGGTAGTTGCGATAGTAATGCTGGTGGTGGTGGCGATGGTGGTGATGGTGGCGATGGTGATAGTGGTGGTGGCGATGGTGGTGATGGTGGTGGTAGTTGCGATAGTAATGCTGGTGGTGGTGGCGATGGCGGTGATGGTGGCGATGGTGGTGGTGGTAGTTGCGATAATAATGCTGGTGATGGTGGCAATGGTGGTGGTTGGTGATGGTGGCGATGTCACCACGCAGTTCTTCTCAATGTCACAGTACGTCTCGCAGTCCGGCAGCTTTCCCAGCAGTGAGTAGCGCGGCCTGTGACAACGACAAAGATCGCTTGCAGAGCCTTTAGCGAGTAACCGCTACACCACCGCTCCCCACACATGCGCACGCACACACCACCACACAGCCACAACACCACCCTGGGTCAGCCACACCACCCCTGGATCGAACGAAACCAGCCAAAGCGGCAACACTAACTCGGGCAGCCTCACCAACCCCCGGAGAGGCTCACCTCTGCGTGCGCACAATGACCGTGAGGAGGGAGAAGGCCACGGAGGCGGCAAGGCCCAGGTCCAGCCCCAACAGAACCACGGCCACGAAGGACACCAGCCAGATGGCCTGACACACCACACAGTGTCGGTGAAGCGAGGTGCTCCACCCCGCCAGCTAAAACCATGGACCCCACCAGCTCCTCCCTGAACTTTGCCAGCTCCACCCAGGACCCCATCAGCTCCACCCTGGACCTCACGAGCCCCACACTCGACCCCTCTACCGCCACCCTGGACCCCACTAGCTCGACCATGGACCCCTCCACCTTCACCATGAACCCTAGCAGCTCTACGTGGACCTCTTCACCTCCAGCCTGGACACCGCCAGCTCCACCCAGGACCCTGCCAGGACTCCACCAGCTATACCCAGGACCCCATTAACTTAACCCTCGACGCATCCAGCTCCAACCTAAAGCCCGCCAGCTCCACCTAGGGCCCCACCAGCTCCTCTCAGGACCCCGCTAGCCCCACCCTGGACCCCACCAGCTCCAACCCTGGACCCCAACCGGCTCCACCTAAGACCTCACCAGCTCCACCTAGGACCCTGCCAGCTCCACCCTGGACCCCTGCCGCTCCACACTGGCCTCGAACAGCTCCACCCTGGACTCCTTCAGCTCCATGCTGGACCCCGCCACCTCCACCCCGGAACCCGCCAGTTCAACTATGGACACCTCCAGTTCCTCCCTGGACACCTCCAGCTCCACCCAGGACTCCACCAGCTATACCAGGACCCCAATAACTCAACCCTAGATGCATACAGCTCCAACCTAAACCCTGCCAGCTCCACGCTGAACCCCACCAGCTCCACCCAGGACCCTGCCAGCTCTGGCCTGGACCGCACCAGCTCCACCCTGGACCCCTCCAGCTCCATGCTGCACCCCTCCAGCACCACCCTGCACCCCTCCAGCTCCACCCTGGACACCTCCAGCTCCACCCAGGACCCTGCCAGCTCTGGCCTGGACCCCACCAGCCCCATCCTGGACCCCTCCAGCTCCACCCTGCACCCCTCCAGCTCCACCCTGCACCCCTCGACCTCCACCCTGGACACCTCCAGCTCCACCCAGGACCCCGCCAGCTCAACCCTGGACCCCACCAGCTCCACCCTAGATGCATCCAACTCCACGCTGGGTTCCACCACATCCACCCTGGATACTGCCAGCCCCACCCTGGCCCCCAAACAGCTCCACCCTAGACCCTGCCAGCACCTCCCTGGACCTCACCAGCTCCACCCAGGACCCCACTAGCTCGACCATGGACCCCTCTACCTCCACCATGGACCCTAGCAGCTCCACGTGGACCCCTTCTCCTCCAGCCTGGACACCTCCAGCTCCTCCCAGGACCCTGCCAGGACTCCACCAGCTATACCCAGGACCCCATTAACTCAACCCTAGACGCATCCAGCTCCAACCTAAACCCCGCCAGCTCCACCTAGGACTCCCACCAACCCGACCCTGGACCCGACCAGCTCCATGCTGGACCTCACTCGCTCCAACCTGGACCCTCTACCTCCACCCTGGACCCCACCAGCCCCCACCATGGACCCCTCTACCTCCACCCAGGACCCTTCCAGCTCCATGTGGACCCCTTCATCTCCAGCCTGGACCCCACCAGCTCCAACTAAGACCCTACCAACTCCACCTAGGACCCTGCCCGCACCACCCTGGATGCATCCAGCTCCACCCTAGACCCCAACAGCTCCATACTGGACCCCAGCAGCTCTACCCAGGACCCTGCAAGCTTCACCCTGGACCCCGACAGCTGCACCGTGGACCCGGCCAGCTTCAACCAGGACCCCACCAACTCCACCCAGGACGCTGTCAGCTCCACCCTGAACCCCACCTGCTCCACCCTGGACCCCACCAGCTCCACCCAGGACCCTGCAAGCTCTGGCCTGGACCCCACCAGCTCCACTCTGGACCCCTCCAGCTCCATCCTGGACACCTCCAGCTCCACCCTGGATCCCGTCAGCTCAACCCTGGACCCCACCAGCTCCACCTTAGATGCATCCAACTCCACGCTGGACCCCACCACATCCACCCTGGATCCTGCCAGCCCCACCCTGGACCCCCACAGCTCTGCCCTGGACCCTGCCAGCTCCACCCAGGACCCCACTAACTCCACCCTGCACCCCACTAACTCACCCTGCCACCCCACTAACTCCACCCTGGACCCGGCCAGCTCCAACCAAGACCTCACCAGCTCTAACCTGGACCCCTCCAGCTCCACTCTGGACCTCACCATCTCCACCGTGGTCCCCACCAGCTCCACCCTGGACTCCTCCAGCTTCACCCTGGACCACACCAGCTCCACCCAGGACCCCACCAGCTCCACCCTGGACCCCTCCAGCTCCATGCTAAACCCCACCATCTCTACCGTAGACCACATCAGCTTCACCCTAGACCCCGACAACTCCACCCTAGACCATGCTAGCTCCATCCTCGACCCTGCCAGCTCCTCTCTGGACCGCACCAGCTCCACCCTGGACCCCACCAGCTCCACCCTGGACCTCACCAGAGCACCCAGGACCCTACCAACTCCATCCTGGACCCCACCAGCTCAAGCCTGGACCCCACCAGCTCCACCCAGGACTTCACCATCTCCACCGTGGACCCCACCAGCTCTACCCTGGACTCCGCCAGCTCCACCCAGGACCCCGCCAGCTCCTCTCAGGACTCCACAAAGCCTCACCCTGGACCCCTCCAGCTCCACACTGGACCCCTCCAGCTCCACCCTTGGTCACTACAGCTCACCCTGGACCTCACTAGCATCACCCTAGTCGCCAGCAGCTCCACCCAGGACCCCTCTAGTTCATCTCAGGACCCCACTAACTCCACCCTGGACCCCTCCATCTCCACCCTCGACCCCGACAACTCCACGCTGGAACCCACCATCTCCACCCTGGACAACTCCAGCTCCACCCAGGACTCCACCAGCTATACCCAGGACCCCATTAAATCAACCCTAGACGCATCCAGCTCCACCCTAAACCCTGCCAGCTCCACCTATGACCCCACCAACCCGACCCTGGACCGGACCAGCTCCATGCTGGACCTCACTAGCTCCGACCTCGACCCTCTACCTCCACCCTGGACCCCACCAGCCCCACCTGGACCCCAACAGCTCCATACTGGACCCCACCAGCTCCACCTAGGACCCTGCAAGCTCCACCCTGGACCCGGCCAGCTTCACCCAGGACCCCACCAACTCCACCCAGGACCTTGCTAGCTCCACCCTGGACCCAGCCAGCTGCACACAGGACCCCGCCAGCTCCACCCTGGACCCCACCAGCTCCACCCAGGACCCTGCCAGCTCTTGCTTGGACCCCACCAGCTCCACCCTGGACCCCACCCGCTCCACCCTGGACCCCACCAGCTCCACCCTGGACCCCTCCAGCTCCACCCTGCACCCCTCCATCGCCACCCTGGACACCTCCAGCTCCACCCAGGACCCCGCCAGCTCCACCCTGCACCCCACTAACTCCACCCTGCCACCCCACTCACTCCACCCTGGACCTGGTCAGCTCCACCCAAGACCTCACCAGCTTCACACAGGACCCCACCAGCTCCACCCTGGACCCCTCAAGCTCTATGCTGAACCCCACCATCTCTACCGTGGACCCCACCAGCTCCACCCTGGACCCCGACAACTCCACCCTGGACCATGTCAGCTCCATCCTCGACCCTGCCAGCTCCTCTCTGGACCCCACCAGCTCCACCCTGGACACCTCTAGCTCCATCCTGGACCCCTCCAACTCCACCCTGGACCCCCCACCTTCCCAGCTCCACCCAAGTCCCACCAGCTCCACGCAGGACCCCACCATCTCCATTCTAGGCCCGTCCAGCTCTACCCTGGATCCCGCCAGCTCCAACCAGGACCCTGCCAGCTCCAGCCTGATCCTTACCAGCTCCATACTGGACCCCACCAGCTCCACCCTGGACTCCACAAGCCCCACCCTGGACCCCACCAGCTCCACCCTGGACCCCACCAGCGCCACCCTGGACCCCACCAGCTCCACCCTGGACTCCACAAGCCCCAACCTGGACCCCTCCAGCTCCATCCTGGACCCCACCAGCTCCACCCTTGGACTCCACAAGCCCCACCCTGGACCCCACCAGCTCCACCCTGGACCCCACCAGCCCACCCTGGACTCCACCAGCTCCATCCTGGACCCCACCAGCTCCATCCTGGACCCCACCAACCCCACCCTGGACCCCACCAGCTCTACCCTGGACCCCTGCAGCCCCACCCTGGATCCCACCAGCTCCACCATGCACCTCTCCAGCCCCACCCTGGATCCCACCAGCTCCACCCTGCAGTCATGGGCTGGACATCCTCAGCGCCCACTCCCCCCGGGTCTGCACTCACAAAGTCGGCGCGGCTGGTTCTCCACAGCACGGGGAGATCCCCGAACTGGCAGAACATCCCCCTGAGGTTCACCACGATGATCGCGGCCAGCGTGGCCTGGGCGAGGGTGGCACGGGATGAGAGGGGGTGAGGTGGGAGCCGGGGGAGGGGTGGGGCGGGGGCAACGTGGTTGTCAATTTGAGACAAAGGCAGCCGGGCGTGGTGGTGCTGGCCACCTACTTTATGGCCTCATCCCCATACCGACCTTTCAGGTGCTACTCGTTGTCTGCACTGGCCTCAACGGTCTGTTACAGACCGGTGGCATTGGTGGCACTGCAGGTAGTTGGTAGTGGTGGCGATCGAAGGGATCTTTCATCTTGTGTGTGCATGTGTGTGTGTGTGTGTGCGTGTCTGCGCGCGTGTGTGTGTTTGCATGCGTATGCCTGTCACTCACCCTGGGTAAAGGCTCCAGGAGACGCCCCATGGACAGGGTGCTCACCAGCACCACCAGGCCGGCCACCAGACCTGCCACCTACACAGAGACACAGGCCCCCCGTGTACCATTTCGTGTAGCTGTTGGGGCAAGTGCTGTTAGCGAGCGCTTGATAAGGCCAGCACGCCACACACACACACAAAACGGGCTGGGTGACCGGCACACCGCGCCTGCCCGCCTTTGTATCTCCAATGCCGATGCTTACACACCACACCAGGTACACGTTTAAGGCTGAATCGTCCTTGGGGGAGGCCCAGGACCGATTTATAAATTCTTCACCGATGTTTGGTCCCGAGCGGGAATTGAACTCGGGTTGCTGTGCTCGTAGTACAGGTGCGTTACAGGGAGGGAGGTGGAAGGGGGAGGTATGTAGGGGTTTTGAACTTCTTTCACACCGTACATAGCCAACCGTGCTAATCGGAAGTGCAGGGGAACGATAAACTAAAGACAAAAAGCAGTTGTAAAGAAGTGAGTTATGGATCTAGATGATTTTAAAGTGCACAGCTGCAACAGCTTACTAATATCGAAAGGGAGAGCGTTCCAGACGGCCACAAAAGCGCAACTGAAAGCACCACGCGATGCGGTGACCACCGTCTTTGTTCGATGGCCAGCCAAAGCAGCTGCTCCTGCAGCGAGGATGACCGCTGGAGTTGGCGTGATGGTTTATGCTCCTTGACGAGATCAGCAAGGTGTCGTGGTTCAATTTGTGGAAAGCGCTTTGTGTTCAATGAGCGCGACCTTATCACGAATTCGTTTTGCAACCGGAAGCAAATCCGACACTCTGCTGCACGCCACCGTGTTGGCTATGTCACGGCTCAATAGTGATCGAATGTGGCGGAGAGTCCTGATGTGAAAATTGCAGAAGGGGAGGGCGGGAAGGCCCTCACCTGCGTGTGGCCTCCGCTGTTCTCCTGCAGGAGGCTTCTGGACATGGAGCAGGCAATGGGGAAAGCGCCGAAGAAGGCGCCGAGGACGTTACTCAGACCCAGGGCCAGCAGCTCCTGCACGAGAGCGGGGGGTGAGAAATATTATTTGAGTTCTTTAAAAAATATTTGAAATAATCCATTCGGTGTCTGTGCATGAACGTCAATCCACGCGTCCCAGGCCACCACCACTCCACCGCTCACTGTCCCTAGTCGCAAGATTGCCTCCTCCAGTAGTGGCTCGCTACGTGGGTCTACGGCTCTCTACGAGAGTCTTTGGTACTCTACATTAGTTTATGACTCTACGTGTGAGTCTGTGGGTCTCTTTGAGAGCCCGTGGTCTCTATAAATGTGGGTCTTGACGTGGGTCTAATCGTGAGTGCTGTAAGGAGAAATCCATCCATTGCACCGCCGATCATTGCGCAATACAAAAATCTTGCCTGACGTATAAACAGCCATCCGAGATGCCATCAGATGGCTTTCTAAATTAAACGAAGGCAAAGATCCCCCATATAGCGTGAACAGAATGTTGGGACAAGTGCTGTTAGCAAGCATCTTTGGAGGCCGGAAGGGCAAACGAGGGGATGGGTGGCCAGCACCACGCCCGGCCGCCTTTGTCTCCCTAGTGGCGATGTTTTCACACTGCACCAAGTACTCATTTTCGGCTTAGTTGACCTAGGGGAGGCCCAGGACCAGTTCAGATAACTGGTGTTGGCCGTGAGCGGGAATCGAACTGGGGTCGCCAGGTTTCGTAGTGCAGCATGGTGACCGCTACACACCCGCTCTCCACTCAACTCCCACGCACACACACATATTCTGGACCGCCTTGCGAATGAGATGTTCCACCCGGTGGATTTTTTTTCTGCCAGGTGCAATATTTTTTGGAAATTAAAGAACTGCGATCGCTAACTCCGTCCGTTGCTTGTTCACCGCCCGTACGAGAGCAGAAATCAGGAAGGGTAGGAGGGGGGCACTGTGGCGCGGAGAACTTGGGGCAGGGGGGAGGAGGGTGGGGTGAGGGGGAGGAGGAGGGCCGCACCTGGGTGCCGTCCACTGTGTAGCCGTGCTTCTGCGCGAACATCTTCCCTAGGGACACGGCCACCGTGTAGCCCACCACGGCGAGCGCCAGCGCATCCCCCACGAGGCCCACGGATAGAGCGAGCGACGGCCACTCCGGGGCGGCCAGCCTGGTGAAGCGTGGAGAGACACACACACACATACGTACAACAACAACAACCAACATTCCTCACTAAGTGGCGGTGACGTCACCACGGCGCCTGTGCACAGAAGTCGATCTTGACACTGCTGGTACCAATCATCGGCAAGTGTATTCAGCTCCACGTCCCCTTGCACCATATCACTCCATCTCTTCTCTAGCCCGTGCCGCGCCCGTTCAGCCCCCTCTATCCTCCCGAACAAAAGCTGTTTAGGCATGCGGTGACTGGGCATGTGGGCTACATGGCCCAGGCAATGCAGCCTTGCCTGCCGGAGGAGCTCACCGATAGGACTTTGTCCAGATTTTTCGAAGAATTGTGAGCTCCTCACACAAACTCGGGATGGATCGTAGGCAGGCCATCCTAAATGTTTCTAACCGGCAAAGATGTTGCAATAGGGGGGTCCACATTTCGCAAGCATAGAGAAGGGAGGGCATGACCGTGGCCGAGAAGACCCGAAGCTTCATGTGGATCGACAGACCAGGTAACTTCCACACAGCATTACGCAGCAGATTTACTACTATCTTTACCCAAGAATGTCAGTGTGTAACGCGCGTGATGTCACTCCACGTCGACCAGCCCCCCTCATTAATAATCATGAGCAGGTTAGGTCCTCCACATGGACCCACCCCTCATTAATAATCATGAGCGGGTGACGTCACTCCTCATGGAGAACCCCCCTCATTAATAATTATCAGCAGGGGACGTCACTCCACATCGAAAAGCCCCCCTCATTAATAATCATGAGGAGGTGACATCCTCCAAATGGACACCCCCCCCCATTAATAATAATTAGCGGGTGACGTCACTCCACATGGGGGGGCGAGGCACCTCCTTCCCCCTCCTCGGCATCAACTTACAACCCTCACTACAAAGGCAGAACCCTCACGTCACGTGATCTCTGTAACCCTGTTGAGACATAGAAGTAATAAGGACGTCATGACGAACAAGGGATTATAACCTTAAAATGAAATAGGTCTGTGTCACCGCGGCCTTACAAATTGCACACGCATTGATGCAGTGAATATCATGTCGCCGTCTGATTTTCGCTTGCAGTTTCAGATTTACGGAAATACACCCGTCCTTGGATGGGCAAAAGGCAAGTGAAAAGATTATGCTGCTCGACTGATTTGGAGTGAGACCCCTACTGTCAAACCGGAGGTGGTCATAAGCACACTGGCCATGTATGCAAAACACTCCAATCTCTCCACAACTGCCCCATCACCACTGGGGAGTTGAGGTGCTGCAGCGTTTGATGGCAAAAAATACCAAGGCAGCTGCTTAGTTTTGGTGGAGCTGATGGTAAGGCCCCACCTCTTAGTGGCACGCTCCAGTCTCAGCAGCAGCGTCTCCAACCGCTCCTCTGAGTGAGCAGCAATTACCAAATCACCCTTGACTACACCCGGGCATCGATCAGCCTCCCATTATACCTGTACCAGATCGAGATTCCTCCGGTACAGGCATGGAAGGCTTCTCGAACTACGTGGTCGAAAAATATGTTAAATGTGGGAACCAGAGGAAATCCCAAGGTGAACAGGAAATGGCTCCGACTCCCGGCTACGTAGTTTTACCCGGGCCTGCACACCATCATGAAGAACCTTAATGATTGTGAGTAAGGAGTCAGGGACTCCGAAAGTATGAAGGAAACCCAGAGCCCAGGCCTATTGATGGCATCAAGGCCTTGACCAGGTCAATAAAGCAGAGATGTAAATCCTGTTGGAATTTTCTACACCTCTGCTGTAGTAAACGGACAGAAAATATGGCATCTGTGCAGGACCGCCCTTTCCTGAAACCACATTGCGGCTCTGCAATCCTCTCCTCAGCGTGTCTAGCAAGGCGATGTAGAATGATCCTTGCCAGGATGGTGGGAGTGGGCCTGTCGCTTTTTCTCAACCAGCCGGAACACCTCCTCCATCAGCCCGGGTCTCTGGGGAGGTTTGGTCCCTGTACACAAAGCAGCCATTGTAGCTGCATGATCCACAGTCCCGAACCTCTGCTGTAGTAAACGGACAGAAAATATGGCATCTGTGCAGGACCGCCCTTTCCTGAAACCACATTGCGGCTCTGCAATCCTCTCCTCAGCGTGTCTAGCAAGGCGATGTAGAATGATCCTTGCCAGGATGGTGGGAGTGGGCCTGTCGCTTTTTCTCAACCAGCCGGAACACCTCCTCCATCAGCCCGGGTCTCTGGGGAGGTTTGGTCCCTGTACACAAAGCAGCCATTGTAGCTGCATGATCCACAGTCCCGAACCTCGGCCCTTTCCCCTTGGCATCAGGAGGGGGGACGATGCCAGCCCCAGTTGCAAGCGATGATGAATTCTTGCTTGAAACTCTCATCAGCTAGCTGAGACCAGGCCACTGTGGGTTTTAATGGGGTCCGAGATGGACAGCCACCACCGGAGTGGAAGAATGGCAGGCGCATCTTACAGATGACTAGTCAATGGTCAGAGGACAGATCAGCTCCACGGTAGGTCCTGGTGTCAAGCACATGGGCCCTCATCCGCTGGTCCTTTACTATATAGTCCAGCAGATGTTCTTGCTTGGACCTGGCATGCATCCATGATGCTATGTCGATGTGCCAATGCTGGAACAGCATGTTGGTAATTACAAGCCCAGGGGTTACAGAGAAGTCTAGCAGCCTCCTAACGTTGTTTTTTAGCTGATCTGGCCCATGCCTTCCCATCAATCCGTACGCACACACACACGTACGCACACGCACACACACGTACGCACACACGCACACACACGCACACACACGGAGCACAGGTGAGATGTCAAGGGCATCTTTAGCGCAGGTGAGACGATTGGGATCGGGGGGGGGGGGGGTGCTTCGGGTTATACCCGGAAGGGATGAGCCCCACGACGTCCACGCTGTGATCCGGGCTCAGCTGCAGCTGCTCGGAGAGAACCGTGCCCAGCACTACCTGCACATAGACACGGGTACACAGACACACGCAGGTACACAGACACACGCAGGTACATAGACACATGCAGGTACATAGACACACGCAGGTACACAGACACACGCAGGTACATAGACACACGCAGGTACACAGACACACGCAGGTACATAGACACACGCAACACAACAACAACAACCGCCATTCGCCACTAAGTGGCGGTGACATCACCACGACGCTTGTGCCAGGCCATGTGCACCTTGAGGTCACGTGAAGTGTCGAACACTCGCTGGCAGGAGGTCACGGGGCAAACCCAAGTGCCACGGGTCGACTGACTAAGATGACAGATGACTGGCTGATCAGAATCAGAATCAGAAAGGGTTTTATTTGCCATGAAAGTTCGCACAGACAAGGAATTTACTTTGGCAGGCAGGTGCATACATTCAACATATAGGAATCTTAAATCTTAAATAAGTGGTATACAAGTCTAACTATACTAAAGGTACAAAGTCTAACTAACACTAAGGGGCTAAAGTATGTAAAATCTTGAGTATATATCTAATATAAAGTAGCTATAAGATACAATCTAAAAATACAAAAAATACAAATAGGGTAACATAGTGTAAATATGGCAAGGTGTCATTTTGTAGATAAAATGTTAAAGTCAGTGTAAGCCCTTGGCCTTGTTGAAGAGGCCAGCAGCGGATGGGAAGAAACTGTCTTTGTGGCATGAGGTTTTGGTCCTGATGGACCGCAGTCTTCTGCCGGAGGGAAGTAGCTGGAACAGAGAGTGTCCAGGGTGGGTGGAATCGGCCACAATCATCCTCGCTCGCCTCATGGTCCTCGAGGTGTGCAGGTCCTCGAGGGTTGGTAGATTGCAGGCAATCACCTTCTCAGCAGTGTGGATGATACGCTGCAGTCTGCTCTTGTCCTTGGCAGTAGCAGCAGCATACCAGACGGTTATGGAGGAGGTGAGGATAGATTCAATGATTGCTGTATAGAAGTGCACCATCGTTGTCTTTGGCAGGTTTAATTTCTTCAGCTGCCGTAGGAAGTACATCCTCTGTTGATGAGGGAGCTGATGTTCAGTTCCCACTTGAGGTCCCGGGAGAGAATAGTGCCCAGGAAGCGGTATGACTCCACAGTTTTGACTGGGGAGTCACACAGGATGATGGGGGTGAGTGGGGCTGTATTCTTCCTGAAGTCCACAACCATCTCAACTGTCTTTAGAGCATTTAGCTCTAAGTTGTTCTGGCTACACCAAGTCACCAGGTTGTCAGCTTCCCACCTATAGTCAGACTCATCCCCACCAGAGATCAGCCCAATGAGGGTGGTGTCGCCGGCAAACTTCAAGAGTTTGACGGACAGATGATTGGAGGTGCAGCTGTTGGTGTACCGGGGAGAAGAGCAGTGGGAAGAGGACGCAGCCCTGAGGAGTTCCGGTGCTGATGGACCTGGAGTCAGAGACTTGTGTTCCCAGCTTAACGCACTGCTTCCTGTCAGACAGGAAGTCTGTGATCCACCTGCAAGTGGAGTCGGGCACGTTCAGCTGGAAGAGCTTGTCCTGAAGCAGGGCAGGGATGATGGTGTTGAAGGCAGAGCTGAAGTCCACAAACAGGATCCTGGCGTAGGATGCTGGGGAGTCCAGATGCTGTAGGGTGAAGTGGAGGGCCATGTTAACTGCGTCGTCCACAGACCTGTTGGCTCTGTAGGCAAACTGAAGGGGGTCCAGGAGAGGGTCTGTGATGGCTTTGAGGTGTGCCCGGACTAGGCGCTCAAAAGACTTAATTACCACAGAGATAAGGGTGACCGGTCTATAATCATTTAGTCCTGTTGGCCTTGGCTTTTTGGGCACAGGGATGATGGTGGAGGACTTGAGACAGGCTGGTACATGGCATGTCTCCAGGGAGGTGTTAAAGATGTTGGTGAACACCGGAGACAGCTGGTCAGCGCAGTGCCTGAGGGTGGCTGGAGAGACAAAGTCCAGCCCAGCTGCTTTGCGTGGGTTCTGCCTCTTGAAAAGTATATTAACTTCTCCCTCCTGAAAGGAGAGAGTCGTCTCTGTAGTAGGGGTGGGGGATGGGGCCTCTTGGGTGGGAAGGGGTAGTTCAGGACAGTCCAATTGTCTTTCAAATCTGCAGTAGAACTCGTTTAGGTCGTTGGCCAGGCGGGAGTCGTTAGTGATGTGGGGGGCTCTGGGCTTGTAGTTGGTGATCTGCCTGAGCCCTCTCCAGAGAACTGGTGTTTTAGTCTCTCTGAGTACAGTCGTTTAGCCTCTCTCACCGCCTTTCTAAATCTGTTCTTCGACTCCTTGAATCTGTCTCTATCCCCACTCCTAAACGCTTCCTCCTTCTCCAACCTCAACCTTCTGAGCTTTGCTGAGAACCAGGGCTTGTTGTTGTTGTTGAAGTTCACCCTGGTACGTGTTGAAATACAGCAGTCCTCACAGAAGCTGATGTACGACGTCACAGCCTCTGTGAGTTCATCCAGACTATTGGTAGCAGTCGTGAACATATCCCAGTCAGTACAGTCCAAGCACGCCCGCAAATCCTCCACAGCCTCACTGGTCCACTGTTTAGATGTCCTCACAGCAGGTTTGCAGAGCTTTAGTTTCTGCCTGTATGCAGGAATCAGGTGGACCATGGCATGGTCAGAGTGTCCCAGTGCTGCTCGGGGAACGACGTGGTAGGCTCTACTGACTGTGGTGTAGCAGTAATCCAGAGTGTTCCCTTCTCTGGTAGGGCATTTAATGAATTGTATGCATTTGGGGAGTTCGTGGCTGAGATTACCTTTGTTAAAGTCGCCAAGTACGATGATCAGCGAATCTGGATTTGCTTGCTCCACACTCAGAATCTGGTCGGTGAGCATTCGTTTAATGTTTGTACAGGGGTGTAGGAATTTGCATGAGCAGGGGTGACTCCCAATACATTATCAAAAAGATTACCAGCTTCAGAAAAATGAAGGTTAAAATTGTCAACTATTTTTTGGGATCTGAAAAATATTCCCCATTTTAGTTAAGCTCAACGGGCAGATTGTCTGTTTTGGATGCCTTTTCGATACATTTGATTGTTTTACAGAAAATCCTGACATTTTCATGTGATTCCAGGAGAGTGGAGGAAAAGTAGGCATTTTTTTCATGCAATATTTTTTTGACGCATCTGGTGGGGCTGATGGTAAGACCCCATCTCTTAGTGGCATGCTCCAGTCTCAACAGCAGCGTCTCCAACTCCTCCTCTGAATGAGCAGCTATTACCAAATCATCAGCATACATAACGTGGTTGAGTAATAGGGAGCCATCCCTTGACCGCACCCGGGCATCGATCAGCCTCCCATTATATCTGTACCAAATGGAGATTCCCCCGGTACAGCTATTGAAGGCTTCACGAACTACGTGGTCAAAATAGATGTTAAATAATGTGGGAGCCAGAGGACATCACTGTCGCACCCCAAGGTGTACAGGGAATGGCTCTGACTCCCGGCCACGTAGTTTTACCCGGGCCCGCTCACCATCATGAAGGTCCTTAATGATCGTGAGCAGAGGGTCAGGGACTCCAAAAGCACGAAGAGCAACCCAGAGCCCAGGCCTACTGATGGTATCATAGGCCTTGACCAGGTCAATAAAGCAGAGATGTAGGTCTTGTTGGAATTCCCTACACCTCTGCTGTAGCAGACGGACAGAAAATATGACATCTGTGCAGAACCGCCCTTTCCTGAAACCGCATTGGGACTCCGCAAGCCTCTCCTCAGCGTGAAGGGCAAGGCGATGTTGAATTATCCTTGCCAGGACCTTTCCCGGCACACTGAGGAGTGAGATGCCCCTGTAGTTGTTACAGTCCTTCTTAAAGAGGGGGACCACCAGGGCATCCTTCCAATCCTGCGGAACCCGTCCAGTGGTCCAGACTGTTGTTATGATGTCATATAGGGCAGTCTGTGGACAAACGCCACCCTCCCTCAGCATTTCGCTTGGGAGATCATCTCTGCCCAGTGCTTTCCTGGTCTCAGACTCCGGATCGACTTCAGTACTTCCTCAACAGATGGGACCTCAGTCAGCCACTCACAGGGGGAGACTTCTTCCAATATTTGAGGCACCGCAGCCTCAGCAGGTTCATCCCCACTTTGTGCCACGATGTTTTCATGGCTGAGGGATTTCCCCTCCCCCAGGACCTCACAGAAATGCTCAGCAAATCTGCAAACCTGTTACTGGTCGGAGATTGGGTCACCGTTTTTTTCCCTAATGATGGTAATAGGTGTGGCGCTGCAGGTTACTTTTTTGATGGAGTTAAATAGGTATTTGTGATCGCGGGCCACTGAGGCAGACTGCATCTCCTCAGCAACCCGCGACCACCACCCATCCTTGCAGCGCCTCACGGCTCTCCGAACCTCCGAGCAAAGGTTGCGGTAAGCCTCCTCATTCTCTGGCGTGGGATTCTGTAGACGATGACAATGGGCCTGTCGCTTTTTCTCAACTATCCTGAACACCTCCTCTGTCAGCCAGGGTCTCTGGGGAGGTCTGGACCGCGTTCCCAAAGCAGCCATTGCAGCTGCTTGAGTCACAGTCTTAAACCTCGCCCATTTACCCTCGACATCAGGAGGAGTGGGGGACGATGCCAACCCCAGCCGCAAGCGATGATGAAATTCTCACTTGCAAATTTCATCAGCTGAGACCAGGCCACTTTAGGTTGGAATGGGGTCCTGGGTGTACACCCACAACGGCAGTGGAAGAATGGCAGGCACATCTTACAGATGACTAATCGATGGTCAAAGGGCAGATCAGCTCCACGGTAGGTCCTGGTGTCAAGGGCATGGGCTCGCATCTGCTGGTCCGTCACTATGTAGTCCAGCAGATATTCTTGCTTGGACCCAGGATGCATCCATGATGTTGTGTGGATGCGCCGATGCCGAAACAGCGTGCTGGTAATTACAAGCCCATGGGCTGCACAAAAATCTAGCAGCCTCCTACCGTTGTTATTGAGCTGATCTGGCCCATGCCCTCCAATCACTCTAGACCAGGTGCCAGCATCATGATCAACTCGGGCATTGAAGTCACCCAACAAGATGACTCTATCCCAAGCGGCCACTTTAGCCAGCACCTGTGATAGAAGGTTATAGAAGGCATCTGACTCATTGGCTTTGCCTGCATCCCTCCACGGATGTTCGTCTTCGGTGGGGGCATAAGTAACCACGACCACCACTCCTCGCCTCCGGTTGATGGGAAGGCGAGCCCAAAGTAGCCTGGGGCTTACAGCTTCCCACACCTTACCGCCACGCTCCCACGCCCCCTTCATTCTTTTGTTCAAAAGAAGAGCCACACCCTGTTGTTTGGCAGTCTGCTGCCCCGAGTAGAGGACTGTCCACCTCTCATAGTGGCAGGAGCCAGAACTGGTCCACCGGACCTCCTGAGTGCCACAGAGATCCAGGCGGTACTGGTCCAGCTCCCGACAGAGGAGTGGCAGCCTCTCCTCCGCAGTGAGCGTTTGAACATTCTACGTGGCCACACGAAGTGGCTTTTCGTTGTTTCTGGAGGAGCCCCGAGGGTGGAGATTCAATCTCCTGGCTCTGCAAAATGGGGTTTGGCCAGGAGACGTCATAGACGCCTGTCCCCCCGGGGCCTCCGGCACAAGCTTATTAGTTACATAGTTAATTCGTGGTTTCGTGGTAATTTATTGAATGTGGAGGGGTTACCAGCCCCTCGCACCCATCCAGGTACATAAACACACGTGGGTACATACACATGGGTACATGGACACACACGGGTACATAGACACACACGGATACATAGACACACATGGGTACATAGACACACGTGGGTACATAGACACACGGGTACATAGACACACGTGGGTACATAGACACACGTGGGTACATAGACACACCAATAGCATCACCCGCCATTCGCCACCAAGTGACGGCGACGTCAGCACGGCGCCTGTGCCAGGCTGTAATTGACCACGGCCCCTTACGTTGTGGCAAGCTTCGGGACCACTTCCTGGAGTCGTGGAGTTCTTCCATTACTCGTACGGGACATTTCATTAAAGCGTGTTTTTTTAAGTTTTTTTAAATATAACTTTTTTTTCAGAAGCGACCTGGCCACAAATTATAGCGCAATAAAGTGGCCCACATGTGGAGATTTGTAGCACCGAAATAATATAAATAATCTCAATAAATCTCTTTAAAATTGTACAGAATATATATTAAAAAAGTAAAACCTCACAATAATGCATTATCGCATGTTAATCAAATGCAGTGCATTATTAGTAGTAGTATTACTTTATAAAGAAGCAGATGAGTGTTGGTGCTCCGAGCACAGGAGGGTTGCGAGGTGAGCGTGACGATGTAAGCACGAGGGACTCGAACACGTGACGCGACATCACGTGCTCCCCACGGCGCGTCACGCGTCACAATCGGAGACTGCAGGAGGAGGAATCCGATGAGCTTCGAAGCTCTTTGTCACCAGACGTCCACCGGGGAATCGCTCCGTTCAGGCGTCACCCCGAACCCCCCTTCCTACCCCTCACGTTAATTCTCTCCCCCCACGTTGTTGTTCCCGACGAGCACTCCGACGTGAACGTCTCTCCACCTTCAACAACAACAATTCCCACTTCTGTGCCCCCCTGCGATGGCTCCTCGACGCTGAGAATCAAACTCGCTGCTCGAACTCACGAGGAGCTCCTCGTTGTTAGACCCCCCCCCCCCCCCCCACCGGCGAGTATCTTTATTTATTTATTTACGAATAGGGGGGTAGGGGGGGGGTCTCTCGGAATCGCTCACGCCCACTGTTGCTTCATTGCATGGCCACCACCAGAGGCCACTAGCGGCCCCTGGTGGTGGCCTTCAGTGCTGCCCCTCGGCAACACCGCTTGTCAAAACACCCTCCACCCATCGTCCTCGTGCTGCCGTCGAACCCCCAATGGCCTCGCATGCACTGTATGTTGAACTTCTTTCTCACCGTACGTAGCCAACCGTGCTAATCGGAGGTGCGTGGGAAGGACAACAGACTACGGGTCTCTGTGTGAGTCTATGTGTCTCTGTGTGAGTCTGTGGGTCTCTGTGTGAGTCTATGGGTCTCTGTGTGAGTCTATGGGTTTCTGTGTGAGTCTATGGGTCTCTGTGTGACTCTATGTGTCTCTGTGAGAGTCTATGGGTCTCTGTGTGAGTATATGTGTCTCTGTGTGAGTCTGGGTCTCTGTGTGAGTTTATGGGTCTCTGTGTGAGTCTATGGGTCTCTGTGAGAGTCTATGGGTCTCTGTGTGAGTTTATGGTCTCTGTGTGAGTCTGTGTCTCTGTGTGAGTCTGTGTGTCTCTGTGTGAGTCTATGGGTCTCTGTGTGAGTTTATGGGTTTCTGTGTGAGTCTATGGGTCTCTGTGTGACTCTATGTGTCTCTGTGAGAGTCTATGGGTCTCTGTGTGAGTATATGTGTCTCTGTGTGAGTCTGGGTCTCTGTGTGAGTTTATGGGTCTCTGTGTGAGTCTATGGGTCTCTGTGAGAGTCTATGGGTCTCTGTGTGAGTTTATGGTCTCTGTGTGAGTCTGTGTCTCTGTGTGAGTCTGTGTGTCTCTGTGTGAGTCTATGGGTCTCTGTGTGAGTTTATGGGTCTCTGTGTGAGTCTGTGTCTCTGTGTGAGTCTGTGTGAGTCTATGTGTCTCTGTGTGAGTCTGTGTGTCTCTGTGTGAGTCTATGTGTCTCTGTGTGAGTCTATGGGTTTCTGTGTGAGTCTATGGGTCTCTGTGTGTGTCTATGGGTTTCTGTGTGAGTCTATGGGACTGTGTGAGTCTATGTTTCTCTGTGTGAGTCTATGGGTTTCTGTGTGAGTCTATGGGTCTCTATGTGAGTATATGGGTCTCTATACGTCTATGGGTCTCTGTGTGAGTCTATGGGTCTCTATGTGAGTCTATGGGTCTCTATAAGTCTATGGGTCTCTATGTGAGTCTATGGGTCTCTATAAGTCTATGGGTCTCTATAAGTCTATGGGTCTCTATGTGAGTCTATGGGTCTCTATAAGTCTATGGGTCTCTATGTGAGTCTATGGGTCTCTATAAGTCTATGGGTCTCTATGTGAGTCTATGGGTCTCTATAAGTCTATGGGTCTCTGTGTGATTCTATGGGTTTCTATACGTCTATGGGTCTCTATAAGTCTATGGGTATCTGTGTGAGTCGCTGGTTCTCTGTGTATGCTGATCTTCTTTCGCACCGTACGTAGCCAACCGTGCTCATCGGAGGTGCGGGGGAAGGACAACGAACGAGATACTAAAGGCGTTTCGGCACCTCGCACTGATGACGTCTTATCGGTGAAAGTGCCCCCCACCGCCCACTCTCTGGAATGAGCGAAGAACACCGCCTTGCACGTCGATAAAGGACACTCAGAGAGAGAGAACAGCAGCACGTGTCGCGAGAAGCTCGGGGCAGGGGGGGGGCAGGGGGGGCAGGGGGGGGGGCAGCGTTACCAGCAGCAGCTCGGCGGGCACGGGCACTCGGCGCAGGCGCGGCACGGAGTGGACCACGCGCTTGAGGAGCAGCATGGAGCAGAGCGAGAGGAGGCTCACCAGGGCCGTGACCACGTTCACCTGCAGCACGCCCCGGCACACGTCACGCGCCGTCTGCGCACACAGCCGTGGGGGGGAGGGGGGGAGGGGGGGTCACGGGTTAAGGGGTCGGGACCGGAGTCGTGGTCGGGGCGCGTGTGGGGGAGCGGTGGGGGAGCGGTTAGGGCGCTGCGCACGCGGCGAACCGAGTTCAATTCCCGCTCACGGCTGCCAACACCGGTGAAGGTTATCTGAAAACCGGTCAGAGGCTTTCCCTAGGTCAACTCGGCCTCAAATGAGTACTTGGTGCGGTGTTTAAACAACGCTACTGGGGAGACAAAGGCGGCCTGGCGTAGTGCTGGCCCACCCACCCTTTGCCGGCCTTCATAGGTGCTCGTAAACAACACTTGCCCCAATAGGCTGTGGAGGCTACACGGGGGATCTTTGTCTCTACGTGCCGGGGTTGGCTCGTCTCCTTGCGCAGAGCGCTCGCTTAATCGCAGGGGACTCACGCAGGATGCTCCTGCAGGGTGTTCGCGTACCCGCAGGTTGCTCGCACAGGGCGCTCACGTACCCACGTACGCACTCGCTCACCCTGCCCCATGCACCCGGGCACGGGGCAGGGCGCTCGCACGGCCGCAGGGTGCTCGCGTACGTACGTGCAGGGTGCCGAGCACCTGGTCGTGTCGCCGCGGCAGGGCGAGTCCCAGCAGGTGTTTGAGCTGCGACACGAGCACCGTGACCGAAGCGGCGGTGCTGAACCCGCGCACGAGCGGCTCCGAGAGGTAGGTGGCCACGACCCCGAAGCGGAGCAGCCCCAGCCCCACCTGGGGTGCGGCAAGCAGAGGAGGAGGGAGGGGAGGGGTAGCGCTCGGTACCAGCGGCGACGCACAAAGACAAAGCCACCCCCCCCCCCCCCCCCCGTAGTCTCAACGGGGCGTTAGGGGCAAGCGTTTTAAACTAAACTAATCTAATTAAAGTTGTTTTGTTTTACCGGGTAAGGCCCCCACACGGAGCTGTGTAGCTGTTGTTTTTAGAAGCGACCTGGCCACCGCAAACGAAAGCTCAACGAAGTGGGCTTATTGTCATCGTCACGTGGAAATATCATGGAGGGGAAACCCGGAGGACCCGGTGAAAAATCCACGCGGCCACGGGGAGAGAGAGAAACACAAACTCCAAATACACAGCAGCAGGCGTGAGGGACCGAACCGACGGCCTCCTGCATACCAGGCGAGATAGTTAACATCTTCATGCCACCTCCTAGATACCAGACGAGATAGTTAACATCTCCTAGCCACCTCCTGCATACCAGGCGAGATAGTTAACATCTCCTGGCCACCTCCTGCATACCAGGCGAGATAGTTAACATCTCCTATCCACCTCCTGCATACCAGGCGAGATGGTTAACATCTAGCCACCTCCTGCATACCAGGCGAGATAGTTAACATCTCCTAGCCATCTGCATACCAGACGAGATAGTTAACATCTCCTAGCCACCTCCTGCATACCAGGCGAGATAGTTAACATCTCCTAGCCACCTCCTGCATGCCAGGCGAGATAGTTAACATCTCCTAGCCACCTCGTGCATACCAGGCGAGATAGTTAACATCTCCTAGCCACCTGCATACCAGGCGAGATAGTTAACATCTCCTAGCCACCTCCTGCATACCAGGCGAGATAGTTAACATCTAGCCACGTCCTGCATACCAGGCGAGATAGTTAACATCTCCTAGCCACCTTCTGCATACCAGGCGAGATAGTTAACATCTCCTAGCCACCTCCTGCATACCAGGCGAGATAGTTAACATCTCCTAGCCACCTCCTGCATACCAGGCGAGATAGTTATCATCTCCTAGCCTCGTCCTGCATACCAGGCGAGATAGTTAACATCTCCTAGCCACCTTCTGCATACCAGGCGAGATAGTTAACATCTCCTAGCCACCTCCTGCATACCAGGCGAGATAGTTAACATCTCCTAGCCACCTCCTGCATACCAGGCGAGATAGTTAACATCTCCTAGCCACCTCCTGCATACCAGGCGAGATAGTTAACATCTCCTAGCCACCTCCTGCATACCAGGCGAGATAGTTATCATCTCCTAGCCTCGTCCTGCATACCAGGCGAGATAGTTAACATCTCCTAGCCACCTTCTGCATACCAGGCGAGATAGTTAACATCTCCTAGCCACCTCCTGCATACCAGGCGAGATAGTTAACATCTCCTAGCCACCGCAGCACTCTGTGAGCACCACGCCCGGCCGCGACTGTCTCCCAAAGTGGCGATGTTTACTCATCGCACCAAGTACTCATCGCACCAAGTACTCATCGCACCAAGTACTAATTCTATTCCGAGTCGACCTAGGGGAAGCCCAGGACCGGTTCAGTCGCGGGCGGGAATCGAAGTCGGGTGTCCGGGTTCGCAGCACAGCGTGCTGATCGCTACGCTCCCGCTCCCCGTACACGCATCATCCAAAGACCCCCCGCCGTGAAGCGTTCACACGCGCACACAGCCCCTCACCCGCACCCCCACGAGGACTTCGGTGCGAGTGACGTCTTTGCTGGCGGAAGGTCGACCGGTGAACAAAACGGACACGGGGCCACTGTCGAGGACAGCGGGACACTGCAGCGGTGCTGCGCCTGTACTTTGTAGAGTCTGATCAATACCGTCTGCGGCATTCGATCCGCCAGGAATATTGTCCTTCGAAGTTCCTCCTCGCACATCCCGGCTCAAAGTACCCCACACCGTGGGAGAACCAAAACTATAAATTAAACTAAATTATGTTTTTCCCCACCCAGGTAAGGCCCCGCTGAGCTACGTAGTTCTTTTTCAGCAGCGACCTGGCTGTCACGAATGATAGCTCTACGAAGTGGCCCATCACGTGGAAATGTAGAGCAGCCAAATACTCGAGACACGTGATGTTGATTCTAAATGTGGTAAGAAAAACCGGACGACCCGGAGAAAAATCCACGGGGAGAGAGAGAGAGAGACACCGAAAACTCCAAATATACAGCAGGGGTCACGGTGGGGGTGGAAGCCACGACCTCTTGCATACCAGGCGAGGTATTTAACATCTCGCCACCGTTGTTAAACACCTCACCTGCTATCGCGTGGTGGCGAGATGTTAAATTCCTTCCGTGTGGTGAGCCCTAATCTCTGGAGTAACCTCGCGACAACGTTTTAGATAAAAATATAAAAATCCTTCACCGTCCATGGCCTACTTTAATCAACCACTTTTGGACCTCAGATTTCATTTAAAGTTTAGGTGGAGGGGACGGGAACCGAAGGGCGGAGGGTAGGTGGTGGGGGGGGAAAGGGAGTAGGTGGGGGGGAGAGGGAGTAGGTGGGGGGGAGAGGGAGTAGGTGGGGAGGAGAGGGGGTAGGTGTGGGGGGAGAGGGAGTAGGTGGGGGGGGGGAGGGAGTATGTGGGGGGAGAGGGAGTAGGTGGGGGGGGGGGGAGTAGGTGGGGGGGGGGAGGGAGTAGGTGGGGGGGGGGGGGGGGAGTAGGTGGGGGGTGGAGAGGGGGTAGGGTGGGGGAGGGAGAGG